TGATAAATCTCACGAAAAATACTTGTCCAACGGCGGCCTGGAGCACGATTCGTCCGCCGAAGCTCGACGGGCAGCTGACAATACTGCCGTGAGGTGTCCCTCGTAAAATTCGAATTTGTCCGTCGGTCGTTAGCCGAGAAATCCAAAACCATCTTTCGCCCGCCGACTCCGGGCTCGCTTTCTCCCTCGGCTTTTTCTCTCCTTCTCGTGCTGCAGGCGGCCGTACGGCATAATCTACCATCCGTAGAACAATCTATCACGCTGTACAACGAAAGTTTGACGCAATGTCAAAACGCGGACCCGTTAATTTTTCATGTCGTTTCACCCGGAACTCGTGCTGTAACTGCGCCTCCTAACCCCGCTCGTATATACACCGCCGACCTGATCCACGTCGTCGACGCTGGTCCAGCAAGTTGTCTCGACGTTGCCATTCATTATTCACCACCTACACTGATACGCTACCTTTCGACAACGCGGGACGCACTTGCGTGGCGGTGCGCCGGGAAAAGAACGTGTCGCGTATCTGTTTTACAGATTGTCTAGTTAAATGCAGCCCTCCCTTTATTTATTATCGTATTATTCGATATAAAAGGATCGCGTCCTCGCGGAGGGAATATTATTCCGCAGAGAGTCAAATTTCATTTACGGTATGTTGCGAATTATTCGCAGTACGCCGTACGCGATGATCAAAAAGAGATGATTAAAAAGATTTCATTAATGAAATGAATTTATATGATGACATTGCGATTGCGTGTAACACGAATATATTATATATACGACATACCGTATAGTGAAATTTTATTTATAAAATGTAACAGGCGTGCGTTTTAAGTTATGAGATTAAAGGTAGTGGTTTGGAAATTGAATTAGATCGCGTATAATTAATTGGATATTTGTATGCGTTTCGCATATTTTAATTATTGAGATTTTTGCTAATTACCATCTATTCATTTATAAACTACAATAAATATTTTGCTTCTTTTTCAGGAAGGTACGTGAAAATTGCAAGAGAACCGCTTAAGTTAATATATCGTAAGTATTATTGTTAAGTAATATTCAGATTTTGTGTACCTATATATTTTATTATAATTACATTTATTCAAAAATTAATATGTACATTACACTGAGTAGATCGACCGATCACGCTTTGTTCGCGTGATCCATAATATTTGGGATGGACATGCTCCGGTAACGTGCGTGCGAGGTCGGGGTAACCGTCGTAATGTACGCGGAGTCAGTTGTTGGTCGGCCGCAGGAAAGACGAGTATTGTAAGCCAAATAAAGAAAGTTACCGATTATCTTAATCTAAATTGCGCGAGTCATCATTTCCGTCCCATTCTCGCGAATCCATAGCAGAATTGACGCTACAATATTAATGTTTATGTGCACGCCGTGACTACTTGATCTTTCCCGTCCATCGCGTTTATACCTCGCCGATTTTGCTCCGGCAGAGCTCCACCCCAATGTTTTAACTTTATCGCGACCAAAGTATGATTTTATGAGAAACCACGGGCTAAATATGCCCGCGTCGTAAAATTAATGGCGTTTCCATAAAGGAATTCGCTGCTTAAAACTCGATAAAAGCCAATAAACCATCGCCGCAGAGCGCAGTTTAGTCGAGTTTATCGTCTGCCCCCTCTTGAAAGTCTTGGCGAGACGTCCATGTAACCATGGCAAGCACCTATATCCGTTTGCAAAGTACATCTCTCTCTCTCTTTTTCGAGTAAGATGCATGCGTGAAAAGGAAGAGTCGGTGCAGCGGCACGATTTACCGCGTCCTTCGCGAGAATTCGCGACCGGCGACGTCGTCGTATGTGACGACCATTTCCGAAAACGAAAAATTGTTAATTTTCATTAACCGTGACGGCGCAACGGCGCAGCTACACGGGCGAGAAGTTGTAAATGCCATAGAGCACCGTTCGCGAAATCGCACGCGCGAATGGCAAGTGGGAAAGCGGTGCGGCCGAAAAGAACGCGGACAGACTGCGGATTACTCGTGTCGCGATTAAGGTATAGCCGTTGATTTACGTCACGATTGGCTACTTATTTTACTTGCAGATACAAAACGCCGCGAAAATTGAAACGTTTCTCCCGCTCACTCCTTCTCCGGTTTTAGTATAACGATAAATTTTCGCGGGGATTTATACAATATCGGAATAAAACCTAAGCATATCTGCTGTACGTCATAGCTCACGTATGATGGGCGATATCCCGGTGTTTCTTGGGCACCGAAGGCCCTCGCGTTACTGCCGTGGGGAGAACGGGCCGATGAAAAAGGCCGTTAATTCGTCGTTATTGCACCGTGGAAACGCTATAACACTCCAAGTGACCATATAACATCCGTATGCATTTGTGGAATAAAGTAGCCGATTATCGTTCGTTTGCGCGCCATTATAAGATACATCATCCGGACGGCAGATAGCCTTGTCTCCCTCAGCGGCATGACCGTCTTAGAATCGGACCGTTGTACCGAGTAATAATGGTTTATCTGCGACTGGTATTAGCTACCTATATAATGTTACCTTCGCCTCTCACTCACCGACATTTTTGCTCATCGATATCTTTATAGTAACATAAAACGGGTTTATCACGCGATTTAAACACCATTCACGGCGCGGCGCGACACAGCTCACCAATTCCAAACCGTAAAACTTTTCGTTGTCGGGGAAACTTGGCTAATTACGCAAGTGATTCACGTGTCTCCATGCTGCTGATTCTAAAAATTGTATTTACTAACTTTTAGAATTTCAATGGTATATTGTTTCATGTGCGTAGTCACACACGAAGCCGAAGAGTTGCGCAATCGAGTGATTCGTTTAGCTCGATTTGAATTTAATGTCGAATATTCTCCCGACATGTCATTGCGCATTTACGTGATTTGTAACAATTTTTCTTCACTCCGAATCTTCTCAATGCACTTTCGGAGGACGCCGCGCGTTCGTGTACGGACCACCGGCTGAAATGGAGAATACGAGGGGACACTGATACTCACATAACTCCTGAATCCGGCGGACGGGGGGAGCGCCTCGCAACTCTTTGAAGGTTTATGCCGATTCAGAAACGAGTTGATTCATGAAGACGGCATGGACCTCCTTCGGATCTACGGCTTGGTGCACCCCAGGTCGTAGCGGGTGGTCCCGTGAGTTGATTTCTTGTTTCTTCTACCGCAAACCGTGAACGCGGTAGCCCCCGGTCGTTCTTCTCTTCTCTAACTCCGTGGAACGAACGAGAGGGCAAGAGAGCGCCGGAGAACGGCGGAGGAAGAGAGGAGGAAGGTGGAAACGGGACGAAAGCGACGTTCCCCGCTGTCCGCATAGCTATAGGAATTGTCGATTTAAATGTTTACTAATAACCAAGCTTGTCCAGCAACCACCCAGAAGTCGGTCGCTTTGCATTTTTATAAGTACATCCCGGCCGTCCCGGTTCCGAGAATGAGAACGTTTCATATTCATTCACCGTTCTGAAAGGATAGTCCCCTACATCGACTAGGAGCCTCCTCGTGTATGTATTGTCTCTGCTGAATTGCACACGATGCACGATTAGGCCCTCGACTCGAATGGCATAGTAATCAACATGTTACCCGACTCGGAAAAGCGGCGTATGCCCAAGAATACTGAATTGTATTCGATTATCAAGTCGTTCGATAAGTACGATACATATACGGGATGTCTCCGAACTGGCGGTATGACCGAAAGAAAAAACAAAAATCCAACAGGGAAAAAAATTAATTAAAAATGTGAAACAAATTCGTTTGGAGACTCGTACAAAAGGGGGAACAGTATACTTGCTGGGCGCATGTGAATTTTGGCGGTGTGATTAGCGGAGAGCTATAGGTACAAAAATGATAACTCGTTTGCTTTCCGTAATGATTCGTTTATTGCGAAAGGACACAGTCTGTGTGCTGATGTCACGTGTCAGCGCGACACCAGCGAGTTCGCGTGAAATTTTGGACACGAATGACTAAAAGGTGATGGCGATCGTTCACTCTCGACATGACATGATATGTTGACAGCCGTTCTTGTGCCCGTGGCTTCACCTTCGTGTAACTTAGAACGTTCCTTTTTTTTCTTCTACGCAACGGCGGAACGCGACGGAGTTAGTGTTCGCAGCAGATTGCGAGCGACGCGTCATAATTTGCGAGTCGACGTGAGCGGAGCGGTTCGCGATTCGGCAGCCTTTGTCCGTGTTCTTGCGAAAAATTATCACAAGCCAATAATTTTTAGCAAAATAAATAAGAGATAAGATACTTACAAGAAGAGGAACCAAGGGCTGGCCCCGAAGAATCTCTATACGCTCCGGCGATCCCTCGCAATCTGTCGTCGCGATTAACGACCCATACCTCGTCATGCTCGACCGAGTCGACGTGAATCGATAATATTATAAACATTGCAATAACAATCATAATAATAATCATAATAATCATAATAATCATAATAATCGTCATTAATATGAATTATGATCTCAGGTAGGCTAGTAATATAGTGTCTACTCTACATACAATACATACACTGGCCGGACGATTTCTCTACTGGGCCTTTCTCTACTATTTACAAACGCATAAATAATATTAATTATATTATTGTATATCTTTAGATATTTATAATATTTATATGTGTGTAATAGTACTGTCGTGTCATAGTACTTGTCTTGACGCGCTAGTTGTCGTACGGTTATACCGCGATAGAGCCACTATAAGGTAGTCGGTACTACGAGTTTTTCCTTTTTATCAAGAGTAATTGGATACGGAAAATAAACTTGGATCAAAAAGTCGGAGAGAGAGAGAGAGAGAGAATGGGGGGACGGGAGGGGGGAGGGAACGAGAGATAAAAGGAACAGCGACGGTGACATTGAGAAAGAAAAAGAAAAGAGTTGGAGCGGGTCGGGGCAGTATATCTCATCATCTCCCGTTTTACTGTACACTAATTACAAGGTTGTAGTCTCTGATTATTGTCAGCCACACCACACAAAACGCGCGCCTGCGATAAACGTCTCCTTAGCGATCGGTCGCTACGTCGAGTCACACCCGTCCAGGAGATTTGAGTTCCTGAGTCGCGGAGAGACCGCCGCTCGCCGGATGGGGCGAGTGATCGGACCCGCCCGACGACGTCGTCGACGACGACGACGGCGACAGGCCGGAGGACGCGGTGGTCAGTAAAACGGCCGATCCGGCGGTGGTACCGCCAGCCGCGCCGCTACCCCCATTGATCGAGAACGGTTTCACGTTACCGGCGGCGGAGATCGACGAGGACGAGGACGTAAGTATGCTCGGGGCCGTGGATGGCGGTATCACGCCGCCCAGTCCACCCAGTGTCCTCGAGTACGTCTCCAGCAGGGATATGTCACCGGAGCCGAGATGGGGCGCGCCGTACAAGTTCCTGTAGAAGTCCGCGTGCGGTCTCACAAACTGCGTGCCCGGATGTATTGGGTGGAGAGGATGATGATGCAAACGGCTGGCCAAAGGACTCACTATCTTGCCCCCTGCAGTGCTGCCGCCACCTCCACCGCCACCCCCACTGCCAATGCCGCCTCCGCCACCGCCCGTTCCGCCGTAGGGTGACGTGAGACCCGTCATCGTGGCTGGATTCGTATTTTGCTGATCGCCGTCCTTGCTCGCCATATCCGCCAGCGACCAGATCCGCGGCTTCGTCGTCACCGCGCTGCCCGTGGACGGCGCGCTGGTGCTCGGCGGCAGATGATGGTGCTGGCTACCGGGGGACGTGCTCTCCGGTGACGGGTGACGCAACAACCGACCGTGATTTGGGGTGAGATACGCCGGATGCTGCAGCTGCAGCGGATGCCTCGGCTCCCTCTGATCGTACAGGCATTCCGGACTGTCCGGACCGCTGTCCGCTCGCGACTCGCTCCACTCGCTCTCGGTCCTACCTTGAACGCCCGCCGACCCACCACTGCCACCGTGCAGTAGGTCCAAACGGTGCGCCGGTCGTTCCCCGTCCTCGCTGGAACCTGTACCCGAGTCTTTCGAATCTGAACCGAGAAGAAAAAGTCGAGTGTCGTAATGTGCGGAACAACGTGACTCCGGTTTGAATTTTCTATTTATTTAACAATTTAAGCAGAGAATTCTTCAACTACTGTAAAGTCGGCATCTCTTCTTCAACAGTCGAAAGCTTTACTAATCGTTCCAATTCCACCAGTGTGTGTTTTACAGTGCCTAATAGGTTTTAGAAGTTGATATGGGCAAAAAAAAGTTATTTTAAATATCAAGGGTTAACTTCCCGTTGTACCTCGAGTTCGTTTCAACTACAAGATTTTCTGGGACAGTTCCTGGCAAAATTGAACAATAATTTCTCTCGTTAACTATTTTTAAATAATTTCCTACCCTGACCGCTGGCATCTTATTTTTTAAAACTATGCGATGCAGACAGTTGCGACGGTTCTTCAAGAGTACGTATTTTTGATCGATACGAGTGATATGTGCATGGACGATTGAAGTAAAAAATGTTGTTAGAGAACAAGACTCACCTAGCCGATCTTTCTCATCGACGCTCTTCCTTCCGCTATCATCGTCTTCGTTGTTATTATCTTCGTCTTCGACACGGTTTCTTGGCTCCCACGTCATTTTATTTTCCTTTTTTAAGCGCCTCCGCGCGTTCGCGAACCACGTCGACACTTGTGTCAGTGTCATCTTGGTAATAATAGCCAACATGATCTTTTCGCCTTTCGTGGGATACGGATTCTTCTTGTGCTCGTTTAGCCACGCTTTCAGCGTGCTGGTTGTTTCCCGTGTCGCATTTTTTCGCCTCGCACCATTCAGATCCACGGCATAACTGCAACAAATTAAAATGAGAAAAATTACATGCACAGTAATCCTCACGTACAATAAGCGTTGAATTATTCTGTGGAAAATATTTTCGTAGTGCAAAAAGTGCGAACAAACGTAAGCAATAACGATTCAATGGCGAGTGTATGAAAGATCATCGCTGTGTGTTTATATTCTTAATAACGACTCGAGTCTCGCAACCGGAGCGCGGATGCAGAAACTTGCGGGTTAAATCACGCGTTTATTATCCCGTAACTGGTCTAGTAGGCTTCGGAACGATTCCCGGACCTCGCCAGACCAGTCGAGGATTAAGTTCTACCTCAAATGCGTTTTCGTTCGAGAGAGAGAGAGAGAGACACGTGACCCGGATAGACGCATACATGGGACACGATACTTTATACGCGAGTGATCGAAAATAAACGAGGCACCGAACAAAGCTGACGTTCAGGGAGAGAAGAGGGAGGCTAAGCGGATCCTCCGCGAAAACTCGCGTCGAAAAACTTATCTCATCGTGGGGCTCGTTATGCCTTCCCCAACGTCGGTATAAAAGTCCGAGTCCTGCTCGGTTTGAAGAGCGATATAAGCGGGTAGAGGTAGGTACTACTTTCATCCCGAGAGCAGATCTCTATCTAACAGTTTAAGCTCTTTCCTTCCATCCTGGCCAGGAAAGAGAGCAGAGGAGCGAAGGGGCGGGACAGGGGGAGGGAAAGAAGAGGAGAGCAGGCAACCTCCTTCTTGCCTTCCACCTCACTCTGTCGGACCGAAGCGACCGACCCTCTGGGATCCCATTACTAAAAGACTAACCCTTATCAAAGATTAAACTTCGGTATAACTGCTGAATCGACGGGATCGAAATTAAATTTTCCACCACCAAGGCGACCGGCGAGGACTCACGGATACTTTCTCCCCGCTTTTTTTTCTTCCATTCCCTCTGTCTTTCCCTGCTTCTCGTGGAATTTTATTTTACTTTCTTCCTATTCGTCTCTCGTTTCCTTTCGCAGTCCTTTTCCTTCGCGTGTGAAGTCCGGCCGAGATGTCGCGATCCGAAGCCCCGGGTGTCTCGAGAGAGCTATATGAAATCGCCGATCTAATCGGAAACGATTCTCTTAATCATATTCATCATTAATGATTGCAACCGTTACCGAACTCTGTCGCAAATGCGAATAATCTGACATAGTTTCATCGGGAATTATAATACATGAAAAAAGTTCCGTCGCACGAAAGCTGCATGTTAATTGGTCTTACGCCGGAAATGTTTTCAGCACACGAGCGCAGTTGCAAAGCAAACGAAAGTTTATACGAATTCTGGGCGTGAAAAACCTCCCTCATAAAAATACCGCTGAACGACGAGATATCGTTTATTCAAATCCCCAACTGGCACCTCCGCCACACCTTCTGGACTCCGGCGGTGGCCCCGTCACGGCGCGTCGCCATTATTGAGCTTTATTTTCGCCTTCGCACACTCCGAGACGTATCCGACGACGGGGCGAGGGTGGAAAGGCGTGTATGGACGCGCGACTGACGTCCCCGGTGTTGCGTGGCGTTGGGTAGGCTAGATATAGGGACGGTGAGCGTGGAAGTGGCGGCGGGAGATGGGAAATTAATAAAACTGTCACTTATCTACCCTTCTCCCGGAGGCAGGCTTACACACGGCATTTCTCGCTTCTCTATCTTCGTTGTCACCCTCCGTCCTCGTTCGCCACCTCCCTATCTCCCTCCGTCCTTCCTCGCGCTATCTACCCATCGCACTTTTCCCGCTCCTATTTGTCTCGCTCCGATTCCGGGGCGCCCCGCATGCGGGATTTGAAGCAGCTGAAACGAAGCGCTAAACATTTCAATTTGGCATCAGGCGCGCTTCCATGCCACGCGCGCGCGCGCCTCCCCCGCGCACGCCCTGATATACATCTCTCTGTCTTCTCGTCTTTCGACCTATCCCATCCTTCCGCTGTGTATTCCTCGTCCTATCCGCTCAACGTCAGGTCGCAGACGCGGAAAGTCGGAGACGCGCGTACCGCTACCGTTCGTCGAGAGAGAACGGTGCGGGCGAAGGCGAAGGGTGGCTCGGACGAGTAGCTAGCCGAAAGGAGGCAGAGGATGCACGAGATGGACCGACATCGATAAAACGGGGGCAGGAAAAGTGCGAGGAAGACGGAAAAGAGCCAAGAGTACCAAGAGGAGGTGGCAGGACGGGCGGCGGTAGCGGCGGCGGAGGCGACGGTGGCGGCGGCGGCGGCGGCGGGGGGAGGGCGGATGGCTTAACCCCGGTCTGTTTGCGAGGAGCAAATGGCGTTCTGCAGTTATTTTAAAATTCAGCCGGTGGCAGGGGGCGCGGATCGGATTAAAAAATCAGAGTGGAAGCTTGTTTCTCATGATAACAGCCAGCCGCCCCGAGAGCGGCAACTGCTGGTGCCGCTGCTTTCTCCCGATTCCGCCTCCCTGCCACTCCTCCGCTCCGTCTCTATCTCTCTGTTTCCTCCATCCACGCACCGAGCCTGTTTCCCGTCTCTTTTCTTGGCTCTCACTCCCCGTTACTCTTTCTCCTACGTCCCTCCTGCCCTCTCCTCGCTCCGTACCGAGTGATTCTCCCAATCTATCTCCCGTATAGCCGCTACCTCCGGTATCATCACCGCCACCGACCATCGCTATCGCCATCGTCAACCGTTTTAAATATACGACAGTTATACGTGTGTATGTACGTATGTGCGACGGACCGGTAGAATATAGACGAGTTCTGTGCATTTGTCGGAGATATATAAATATATATGCAAATGCACCGCGTCTAGGTGTGCGTTGATACGCGTACGTATGCGCGGCATCGCGCGCATCCTCCTCTCCTCTCGCGCTCTGCTCCACAACTGATCGCATCAAGTGCTTGTTTCCATGGTGATTGCTAATCGGGCCGCGCCTCGTGTTCTATCCTACGCCATTTCCATCTTGTAATGCCGCTTTCGCTGCTTCGCGAAAAACTCATTACGTTGCGGCCATACAAATTTTCCGCTTCTCATCCTTGCGAGAGATACCTGTTTTTATCCTGGACACAATCTTTCTTTCGCGTTTCGGGAGAATCCGTGCTGCCGTTACACATTTCGAGAGCAGATCCTTATTGGGAGAAATACTTTCGACAATGTCACTTCCGATTTCTTTGCCGCATCCCAAAGGCATTCCCGATGTAGGTGTCGCAACTTTCTTTACCGATACATCGTGACTATAAAATTTCGTTTCCAGTCTTTGTACAGGAAATGCCAACTATAAATGTTAAGAAGCCAGCCGAGAAAACTAATTGTTGTAATATCGTTTATAAAAGTGAATGTCCCTGTGATTGAACATGTTTTAATGATTAAACCGCTAATAATATATTTGTATCAAGGTGTAGACCGCTGAGGGCATTGTGGTGTACAGATTTGCGGCATTACTGGGCATTTTTGGGCAGTAAGCCTTGCTTTAGGCATTATAAAGATAAAATACAATAATAAGATAAAGTAATGCCCACTGGGCATTAGTAGGCATCGGTGTACAGGATATTGTCAGTTGAAAATATTGTTTAATGAGCACACGATCATTGAATCTGTATTACTCAGTGATTAAGACATGACTTGTTTTTCAGTACAATAATCGGCATTGCTTATATTCCACTAAAGTTATAACTGATTTATTAGCGGGACGTTAATCTTACTATATTAATTTTTACAAATGGAGAAAATAAAAATGTCAAACACAAACGGTGCTTATTAGTACGTGCAAAATGCAGTTAACAGGAACATTAGGGGAGTATTGTTTCATAAAATCGCTGTTAGCCAGCAATTTGGGGAAATACGGATATATTGATCGAGCAAATGTAAAGTAAATTTAAATACAAACGCGTAACGATGCGTATAAATTATCATTAAGCGGCCACTGTACAATGTTTCAAGCATGCTAACTCAATGTGTACACGAGGTGTTGATTTAATCCCCCGAAGCACTTTGATTAATGCAAGTCGTAAAAGTACTATCGCCGATATGCGCAACACATTCCCATTGACGTAAACTGCGTTACACCCAGCGTGGACTTCTACGAGATAATTATAACCTTCGTCTCGAATTTAACACGTATCGGATATCACGACAGTGTATGAAGCGTCACTATTGCTCTCGATTGGACTACAAATTTGTGGTGGACTGCGATTTGCATATCTCGCATACTTGGACGGTGTACGGCGCGAAGGCAGATATATTTTTCGATCCGGACGGCTTATCCGTCAAACCGCACGACCGCGCGGTTCGCGGCTGACATTCTCCGAGCGATGGACCGCTATTGTGAATATATTTCTCGTAGATAACGCAACCGGTTCTCCGCGCGCTTCCATGGCGCGGATGAAGCTCCGGAGTCCCGCAAGGTCCAGCTAGCGTTTTCAAGACGGGAATCTCGAGCCGACCATTAAAAGCCAACCGAACGGCCATTTCTTTCGCCCTTTTCCCGTCGACCGGTTAGCGTAAACGCGTCCATCAAGATGTAGCCTTCGGAGAGGGTGGAAATGGGAGGCCGGGGGAGGGAGAGCCCCGGGGGTGACCAAGGGCAGTTCACCTCGGGGCAGGTGTGCGGTTGGCATGACTCCGCCCCTCGTCACCGGCCCGTAACTAGGGATGATATCTAACTTCGTCCTCCGTCCCGCTCCCTCTCTCCTGGGCCCTCCGTGCCCCCCCGACGCTCCTTTTCAGATACGGTCGTCATGCCTTATGTTTTATCAGCGCGTTACTGCGGCCATTTCAGTGCTAGACGCCATCTTTCCGCGGCACGACCGTCAACGCACGCACGAGGGTTGCGCGCATCTTTCCGTCCAGTTTGTCCCAAAGCCCGCCCGCTCGCCTGCGCACCATCGCCGTCCCTGTCGTTTGTGGTCGCGCTTGAGTTTAATCAGCCGCGGGTACGCGGCTAGACTGGTTTGCGGCCCTTTTCGTCCACCCGCTTTCCGTCGCGGTGACCTTGCGAGTCCTCGCGAGACAGGTTGAAAATAGAGCGAAGTGGGAG